GTAAGAGCACCCGGCCCCCGTGCGCCGCGACCCCGCGGGGGGCAGTGGGGAACCAGAGCAGGGGATGGGAGCGACCGAGGAGGGCGGCCCCGGTTTAAGACCATGTGAATCGGGGTGGGAAAGCGACTGTCACCCCTCCCTGAAGCACTGGGAATCCTTGCTTCCAGCCATGCTCCAGCACCAGGCCTGTGCGAGCTCTGATTTTACAAATCACCGTCTTCAGGACTGTGGTTGAGGGTTGGAAAAGGGGAGGGAAACAGGAAATCCCCAGTGGTACCCTCATAAAAGCCAGGGGATGTTAAATGACAGTTTCCTCCTGCTGTCTGCAGTGCAGATAGACGAAACACGATAGCTTTGCATCCAGAACACCTAGATTTAGGATGCTGTTACAGTGGCGACTCCTGTTTCTTCCCTTCCTGGCCTGATCCGGCACTATTTCATCACGCATCATCTGAGGATATTTCACCTGCTTTGTCCCTAGTGCTCTCCTAAGCTTAGTAAGGAGTTTGGCTGCATCTGTGCAGTTTGCTGCAGTGTGGGCAGCTTCCCAGCATCAGGGCTCAGCTGAGCTAAAAGCATTGTCACAGGGCACTGAATGACACAGGCTCTCAATCTGCACACTCATCTGTCTTTACTGCCCAGGAGCTCAGGGCAGCAGAGAGCAGTTGGGAGTCAGAGTGCAGGATAAGCTTGTGCACTTAAAGCACACACTTCTGACTTAATTGCTCAGATCATAAGGCCATAGAAAAAATGAATGTTAGAGAATATCAACTGAGTAATTTTCTGTTATGCTCTGATCCATACTTTATACAGGCTCATGACTAAGGAGATTAAGTGCCAGCCTCTTGAGGGGGAAGAAGCCTTTCAGATACAGAATGAACCATTGCAAATGGGGTTGGCAGGATGCTCACTGCTGATATTCAGGTGCTGCTCTGCAGCATTTATCATTGGTGATGTTCTTAAAGGCAGAAAACCCACCCAGATGCCTCCCTCCGCAAAGTAAGTCATTGCTAAAGCTGGATTTTGCAGCAGCAGAGACTTCTGGAAGGACAGATTTCAGTCTGGGAGCCGTCCCAAACTGCAGCTGTCAACTACTTGCATTTTATGGATGGATTTAACCAAAGGCTTTCACTTAAAACAGGAAATGTTAATTTACTCATGTGCTTCAGGGCATTAACTTAATAGGAGTCAGGAGGCCTTAAGGTTTGGAAGCAATCTATGCCCCCAAAATCATGCTTTCAGATAACATGCTGATTTTCTCTTTCTTCCTACTGCATCAGCATTTGACATCACTGCGTGAGACCTCCTGTCTGAAGTCTGTGTTATTGCTCTTTTCCCCCCTTCTTTTTCAGAAGACTCCATCCAGCCTGGCCCAAGGATGGAGTCCCTCCCTGAAGCAGTCCTGATCAGGATCCTGGCTTCCATACCTGCGGTGGATTTGGTGCTGGCCTGCCG